CGGCAAAGTTGGGCGGGTAATATCGATCCAAGTGTGATTAAACTCACGGTGTTAAGCGCGACATTAGTAGCTCAAGTGAGTAGAGCGTTGGCTTGGCTAAAAGGCCACTCGCAGAATGCCGCGAGTTTTTTCACAATTGGGTCAACTAAATTAACTAAATCTGCCAAACCAACTTAGTAAAATGATAACTGTCCGATTTTTCCGTAGCCAGTGCACTTCGATAGCGGGTTCAAGTTTGTAGTGCATGCTCCGCGCGAAAAAAAGGGATTCAATGTGCCGACTGGCAAACTGTGCGTCCATTCACGTTCAACTAGAATTGAAACATTCAGATACCAGTGACGCAGGATGTAGCCAAGTGGTTCCGCTCTGACGGTATATGTACACAGATGTCGCGACAGATATTTGACCCTTGAGGCAATTGCGAAGATTAATTCTACTAGGCCTAACTAACACTCTGTGTGGAGAATCGATGTTTAATTAAGCTCCGAGGACCCCCGCTGTTCAAGAACCTCTAAAAAGAGTCCATTTACTATCAATTTATGAATGTTGGCGCACGTTTTGGCGTCGTTATTCTAGTCCTGAAACTTCTGAAACTTGCAGGTGGTTTTGCCAGATTTCTTAGGATCCAACAGCAGCCTATTTCTGTCCTCTTGGCTTCAGCTTTCCTTTCTCCTGCTCACATTAGTGTCATCTCTCTTATCGATTTTGGTACAACTTTACACCACACCACCGCATTCGCTCTCATTAACTTGACTCCAATGCCCTGATTAACCGTGGCTATCCTGCACGTTTAATCCAAAAGTATAGAAATCCTTTACGGCAAAAATTGGTGGAACAGTTTGTTCCAAAAAAGGCCACAATTATATCCTTACGCTGTAAGGGTGATAATATTTCGAATACAATTCAGCGGGGTTTGCGTTGTATCATAGAAAAGACTAGAGCGCAGCTGAACCTGCCTTCATCAGTCCTACTGAAAGCCTTCCCGTAAAAGGGGCAAAGGATGCCTTGCCATCGCACGTCACACCAAATTGTATCTATGACTTCACGGGCACTTGCGGATGCAAGTGCCTTTGGAGTACGCGAAGGCAACTGGCAGTTAGGGCCGCTGAACACTCGCCTAATTGGCTTTTCAAGCAAGAAGACAGGGTACCATGATCTTTGATTACTAAACACATGCTAAACAGTGACCACTTGGTCGACCTCAGAACAGCTTTCCGAGTACTTGTTCGGGCACAAACCAATCGGACCCTGCGCTACTTGAAAGCGATCTACATACGGCTGGAGAAACTCGACCTTTGCACGCAACTAGACCACGTGGTTAATCTCCAATTACCTTGGTAATTGGTCAGCTAGTTTTAATCACGACTTGGTTTGCGCTTACTTCCTCCCCATAGGCTGATTTAATGTATTGCCCTTCGGGTGATCAGTATTTACTTTGAACTATGACCCTTGCTGTTATACATTGACGTTCTGTGAAATTCAATGTGCTGTATGCTTCTACCTGCTATATGACTCATGCAATGACAGGATGCAGTAGAAAAGCCGTCGCGAAATTTGTTGAATTTAATAAATCCTGTTGTCCATGGTTGTTTTAAATTCGTACCGGGGAGCAATTGTTTCAAATCGCATTATATGTTTCATTTTCGATTTGATTCAGTCCAGATTTTCTGCTTGTTACTTAGTGTGTTTCTAAAAACGAATTTTAAATGTGCGAAGGTAATTTTAGTTAAAACACAGAACACTTTGAAGTATAAATCACGTTACGGACGTATATAAGCATGCGTGTTCCCCCTCTCTGCGTTAAATTCCGGAGAGTACCTATTCCCTTGCCTTGAATTTGAACCTAACCCCAAACACTAATTCTAACCATAGCCCTACTCCTGACGCTCTTGGAATTTAGCGAAACGCACCTGTAATACCGGTGCACATATAGTTCTGTCATACCTAAATTTGCTAATGGCATCAGAAGTTGTGCATAATAATTCGGCTAAACATCAAACGGTAAGCAACGCTGTCTCTGTCTATCTTTTCTTTTCGTCGTAGATACAGTTTATGTGGTCCCAAAAGGACACAGACTAAGAATGCCCTACAAATAGGTGGTTTCACGCTAACTCCCATGGCAATTAGGGTTAGGGCAAGGGTAAAATAAGGGTTCGAGTAGGGTTAAATTTTGGGGTAGGCTTATTGCTGGGGTCAGGCCATGGACATACACGTACATTGAGTGGCCAATCTCTTTAAATTTTAAGCGAAAGTCTAAAATGTGTTTTCGATTCGAAACAGTTACTTAATTAGGGCTGTAATATTAACTGTACTGTTGCATAATCCAATGATATTTCAATCACATCAGGATGCCGATTAATATTTCATGCTATAACACATCTAATATATGCACACCTGAAATTTATCATAATGCGTTGCGGGGGGGGGCGTTCCTATTACCTGCCCTGCCGCGGTGTTATGTAAAAGAGTTGCGTCCTTTTCATTATTTCAATAATGAATAAAGTCGTATGAGACAATGATTTTTTTGGGCAAGATGTTAACAGATCACAATGGAGTAGCCGCCAACTCCCGCATTATCTTCTGACCTGTCGCTTTATCATGCAAGCAAGCATGGGAGGTTTAGCATGCTGCCCTCTTGGAAGTTCGCCCTCAAGTCCACATCCTCGTCCAGACCGAGGAAACTCTGGCTGATATTCTCAGTGCAGTTTTCCTACAGCGTGCGTGTGCTTTCCAGAAGTAGTTGCAGTATCGTCGTCATTAGGCTATCGGTCAGTTTGGTCACCATTGTCGTCAGGCTATTGTTTAATTCAATAATACATCACTCTGATCGCTAAAGCGACCTAGAAAGCACGAACTGCGACAATACCCTTATAAGTTTCGGTTTTCCCAGTAACGGTCTAACTGACAAGTATGCCGTCCTGTCTTGTTTAAGTTCTGAGGAAATTGATGTGCAAACTTCTACGGCTTAGTCCGAAACTCGATGTTAATATTTGGACTGAAATCCATTAGCTACTGACGAATAATCGTGCAATACTCATAAGCTGCCAACAACAGTAATACGCAATTGTATGCTACGTGGACAGCACAGGTACTAACTAGAAAGTCAGACACGCGCGTTCCGCCGATATTGTGCCACTGCCTGATGTAGCCGTGAGGGGTTCGACCATCCAGAGGGTCTCCAGGGTTCCTCGTGTGTTTTCTGGTATATTTACTCCCGTTTGAGACTGTCTTTTCTAATTTACGAGGAAAGTAAAGTCGCAAACTTGGAGCTAATCCTTTTGAAGATATTTAGTGAGTACTTTTGCTGTCAGTATGGTCAATAAGCACGTAGTGCATACTTTGGGCTGCATGTTAGCAGGTTGTGGATATTACACGGTCATACCGCAGTGGCTGATGGATTCCAGCTCAAACAATCATATCAAGTTTCGGATGAAAATGAAGTAAGTGTGATTAGTTAGCAGATTATTCTGATCAACTCCAGCGGCACCCACGTGCTTTCCATTTGTCCGTACTGTTAATCTTTATCTAGAATGCACATCCCTCTCGTTATAAATGCTCGCATCCAATGTGGTATCATCAACGACATCAAAATACAGACCCCATCGGTAAACGTCACAGATCTTGACCGACCTATTTTTGCCTACTTACTGTGAGCATACTTTTCTGCCCGGCCCACCCCGACAAGAAGTTTCCTGGGTTTATCCCCACATAGCAACTATGCTAATCGGACAGATTCTGTCATTACGAGTCAGCGCACCACATCCTGAGCATTTGCGCAACCTCCGCCGCCAAGTTGAATCAAAAGCGAGTCCGACGACGTCAGCTCGTCTATTCCGGCAACATGTTTTGTTCTGGCATGAGACACAGTGAATAGACTTGCTCTCTGATACAACCTTGACATTTGCATACGAACATCCTGCTCACACCTTCTACTAGCGACACTTCTCCGTCTAACAAAACCCTAATTTTGACACTATTCCGTCCGTTGGACCTCCAGTTAGATTCTGCTTATCGCAGCGGCTTCTACTTACCCAGCGACGACAGTATCTGCATCCATATACCATTCCTTTTTTATCTTGACAAGAGAAACCTTTTTGGACAGATACGCGTAAACCTCGGCCGCGATTGTAAAGACTCCTTCTTACTGTAACCTACAAGACGGGTGAAGTGCAAGGCAGATTCTGAATGAAGTCTAAAAAAACGTTAAGTTAGTGAACATTTGGAGTGTAGCACGTTGCATGAGTCTTTGGGCATTTTATTTCATT